TTTTGCTTACCTTGTCTGCACCTTGCGCTGCTGTGAATTCCGTTGCTGGTTGGTGCTGTTGTTGTTGTTGTTGCTTTTATTATTTTTGTTGCACTTCTTCACTTTTGCTTTATCACGCAGCTATTTGCATTCTTTTGCTGGACGCTCATTAAATTCACATAGCGACTGCTGCCTTTTTGCTTTTGTAATTAATTGAATAACATATACAAATACACGCACACAGACACACTTCTGGAGAGCGACCGCACACAGGCACACAAGTAAACGCAATTGCGACAGTTTCTTCGCTGGGAAAAACACGTCCGCAGACAGGTAAATGCGCTGAACAACTGACGCTCGCCGCCTCAATGCGCCATTCAGCATTGGCTTGACTTTGGGCCGCTCTCTCAAACTCCAGCTTCGTCGTGCGCTCATCGTGACATCTCTCTCTCGTTCTCTCGATCTTTCTGTTAGGCTGCGTGTCTCGCTTGCACCTGCGCACTTTGCCGACCCAGCGACGATCGGCAAAAGTTCGTTACAGCGAGTATGCTTTTGAATTTTACCTGTGACGCGACTCGCACTGCTTGCGCGAGAGCGTAAGTCATGAGCGCCGCTCTTGCGCTCTCTGTGTGCCCCTCGGTGCCCGCTGTGCGCGTGTTTACCTGTCGTTATCTTGTCTCCGTTGGGTTGAGTGCCTGGAAATTAGCTGAGTGCTCTCTGGATAGAGTGTGTGAGTGTGCTGGTGTGAGCGCGTGTGTGTGTGGGTGTTTTTGTTTGTGTATGTTGAGTACACAACAACATGTAGTCATGCCAACGTTGCTGGTAAGCATTTTATGGTGTTACTTAACATAAAGGCTGTACCTGTGAAAACCATGTTGGATTTACGTTAAAAAAAACGCTGTTAGGCTTTTTATTGCGATAATTAAGCTACCTATGTTACTATGCACTACTTGTGCATATTAAACAGTTTTTTAAACATTCATTAAAATGTTAGTTGCAACTGCTGTTAAAACAAAATCGCTTAGTCAAGATTTCATACGCACTTTTAAAAAACTCAAATTTCAGCGGCGCTTTTGTCAAATGCATCAAACAGTAACGGCCGCTTTTATAACCGCCAGATGGCGCCAGCTGCTTAGCAGAGCTGCAAACCATATCCAGTTTCAGGGCAACTGTGCTGCGTGCACAGTTGGAGGGCCATTGTTACAGTACTAAGAGTCGATACAGTTTTGAAAGCATTCTGCAAATAGCTTCCTTGAGCGAATCCATTCATATTGGCAGCGTAATAAAAGTCCAATTATGCACTTTTACTTGCTTTTTGTCGTTTTTACATACTCTTGCGCATGTCGTTAAAGGATCTTAAAACACAGAAGCCACAGGACTAAGTCAGTGGCTTTTAAACTGCCTAAATGACTTGCTCTCCGTCTGAAAGGTGCATAAATCTGTTAAATTATCCACACACACACACACACACACACACACACACTCCAACACACACACGTGCCATCTATCAACCGCAAATACGCAAAAAGGAAGCAAAATTTTGACTGGGAATACGTCATAAAAACCGATTTAACAGCCGCAAAAACTGAGCAGCAGTTGCCGCCCCTCAAGCTGTAGCCCCCCTGCCCACCCCCCTAAATACCCTCTCAGCAGACAGCCCTGCTTAAAGGCAAACGGAAATGAAGCGATGCGCGGCATAAAACAAACAAAAAATATATAAAATATATATATGTATGTATGTATATATGTATGTATATGGGGAAGTGAAAGCGAGCGCAAAGCTTTGATAGGCCTGCGTGTCCGCCCCTCTGCCACGCCTCTGCGCACAGGCCTGCAGCGTTTTTATGGTCCATCAGCAGGCGCCTAATGCCGGCAATTAAAATAAACGGCAGCAAAGATGCCGCCAGGACTAGGATCAGAGCCTCCTCCTTCTGCTGGGATCAGAGCCTGCTGCTCGCCCAATTCCCAGGACTCGCTCTCGCGTGGCTCCTGCCGTCAACTCTTGGCAGCCAGCTGCTATGCGGCCCATAACAAATGTGCGTTTAATGAAATTTTTATTCAATCAGTGCAGCGGCTTTTACGGCGACTATCTCACATCGCAGAAAGCGACAGACAGGGATGAGTGAGGGTGGAGAGGGGGGGGGGGGGGGAGAGAGTGTGTGATATGAGGGACAACCTGTTGATGTGCTCGACGATGTGGCGAAAGAGTTTGAAAAGCAATCAGAAATTGCAAGAAAATAAGAGCTTACTTTTATCAGCTCGTTGCTTGAGCTTTAAATATGCTTTAATCCATTAACTCTATATCTTTTAGCGAGCTTAAAGCTTTTTCCAAACTCAGCTATTCGATTTAGACAAGCTTAATTGCTTGAAATCATTCAGTTAATCTCACTTAAAGCTTGCATTAGCTTTAAGACCCTTTTCACTTAATAATTGTTCAAATAAAAGAATGCAAAAAAAAAACTAAAGCTTTCAGGTGCTTTTAAAGTTGAAAATTGCAGAAAGCTTTATTGCTTTTAAAAAGCGCATTAAACTCAATAGAAGCTTTTATGCGCTTGCAAAGCTTTCTCACGGGCATCTCTAAGAACTCAAAAGCTGCAACTAAAGCTTTTGATTTACGCTCAATCGAATTTAAAGCTTTTAGCAGATTTTTCGTTGGTTTTCGTGCCTGAAATCTATTCTTTCTATTATTTATTTGCCAGCTTCATAAGGTGGAGATAGATAGATTAATTCAAGATCTACTTTAATATATGGAGGGTTTTCCTTTGATATATGAATAGATGCTCCATTTGGATGGCTTTGTGGTTCGCAATGAAAATCTGTTGTTGTTTATTCATGATGTCACTTGGTGCGGCTGCTCACAGATATTTTCCTGCTGCTTGTATATAATTTCCTCAATTTTCCTTAATTTTCGTCATTATATTTGCCGTACGCCTTGCGGCTGCAATTAGGCGCCGTGGTTGGCCGCCGCACAAAAGCCTATACATTCGTCTAGGACAGTCGCGCACACACACCCCCCCCCCCCTCCCCCCTGGCAGGAAAAACCGCAAAAAACAGTTGCGTCGACTTGGCCACATTTTCAGGTGCAGACATTTCCCGGCCCTTTCCAACACACACTTCTCATTAAAGTTGACGATGAGCCGCGTCCTCCACCTGGCTTTCAATTAATTCCGAGAAGGAGACTGAAGCAGGGGGGGGGGGGGGTTGTTGGTGTTTGGTTCGATTCTGAGCGCCAACAGGTGCGTATTACATTTGCATAGATTAGGAGAAGAACTTCGGATTTTGGGCAACTTGTTCGCTGTTTTGCGGCGGCTCAAAGCAGAGCACAAGTTGGCTTAATTAAAAAGTTTATAAAAATTTACATAAATTTCATTTGCGCCTAATGAATTTGCGCGCTGAAATTGAAAGCCCAGTCAAGCGGGCCAATGGCAACAATTAAACAGCTTATGGCCACCAAAATAAAAAAACCCCAAAAAAAAGGTTAAGTATTTAACACTTCGAGTCCTTTGGCAACTGCCCTACGAAATGGCTTTGCTAATTTGTTTCGCATATCTGCCAAATATTGATCGCAATTTGGCAAAGCCAAAACGGAAGAGGAAAAGCGGCACAGCGGGAAAACTGTGGCGTCTGCCATGTGGGTCAAGTAAATCAATCGACAGCTTTTCCAAGTTTACCGTGCCAAAGAACAGCAATAACAGGGGCCATAAAGGTCTGCTGTCTGGCCGGAACCATCACCTGGGCTGGCCCTATAAATAAATCATGGCCTTTGATAATGTGCCACACACACACACACTCGCACACAACTATAACAAACACTTTGACAAGATATGCGGCCAGCCGTTTTCACACGTCCCTGCTCGGGCGCCCTGTCGAGTCCCTGCTCGGGCGCCCTGCCTGGGCGAACCTCATGACAGCGTTTGACTTATTGTCAAGAGCTGTTTCGCCTGCCAGCTTAGCTTTAGTTGCTTTTGGTTTGTTTACATGCCACAGCCCGTGGCACGCTCAATCATAATACAATCTGACATATTGTTGCCTGTTCTCAAGCGGACTTCGTCGCGTATACGTAACGAAACCTTTTGCTGTGATTAATCAACATGACATCGGGATTTGCTGATTCGCTGCCGTCTGCTGCATTTGGTAAATGAGTTTATTTCTTGGGGCTATTTAAACAACAATTTGTTGGCAAACGAAACCACAGAAAGAAAATAGAAGGAATACAAAATTTGTTTGAAATGATTTCGAAGCAAAAGGTTTCTTAGTTTGCGACATTTAAATTAATTATTATGTGATTGAATTCATTATCCCAAACGAATTGACGTTGCAAAAGAAAGTACTTGGCATTAAATGTTTAGATAAATTGATTGACAATATATAAATTATTAAATTAAAATAAAATATTAAACATTAAATTATATAATAAAGGATATTTATTGCTGTAATTAGTATGTAGATTCTTAATAAAATACAATAATAGACAAATATAATATGTAATTTTAAGTTAAAATCATTTAGAATATTAAACAATAAAAAATAATTGAGAAAAGGGTTAAAAGCCAGACATAAACTGTTATTTTTTAGTATGCAAACATAGTCAATTATACAGAAAAGGCAAATGTACCAAATGTACCAAATGTATACGTGCCTGAAGTCCATTAAAATGGTCTTATTGGGCAATTTGTACTAAATGTGTATAATAAAAAAAAAAATGTGCACATAACCTATAAATCGGGGTCAGCTGATAACCCGGCGTATGAGTAATGCGCTTTAAGTGAATGCACATTCACATTCACATTCACATTTACAGGTACAAAGTACAAATGTTGACACATTTATGCCCAGAATCTAAATTTATAAACACGCACTCACACACACACACACACACACACACGCGCGCGTATCACAGATATCAAAAGGAATGAAACGATATGAGCAACGGTTAATCCCAGCGACGCAGAGCAGAAGCAGCAGCTAATAAAATGTGAAAAGAATGCGAACATATATAAATAAATAAATAATAAATGCCTGTCAGCATTTTTGGCTCATAAGCAGGCCAGCAAAAAGCTAAAACACAAAAAAAAAGAGAAAGGAAAATCAAAATGAAAATGAAATAAAAGCAACAATGCTGCACATGGTATAACGGCAGAAACAGTCGCATCGACAAAAAGACAAATGTCGGAGCAGCTGTAAAAGTTGCAGTCGTCGAGGCAGACAAAAGGCAGCAGCAGCAGCAACAACAACAACAGTGCTCACAACTGCAGCAACAATAAAAATAACAGAGCCAGCAGCGACGGTAGCAGAAACTATAACAACAGCATAAGTAACAGCAGCAACAACAGCACAAAAAACAGCAAAACCAGCAACAACAGCAGCCGCAATAATAGCGGCGACTGCAGCGTCAGCAGAGCAATAGCCAAACAGCGGCAAAACAAACAGAGCCCAAAAACAAAGAAATAACAATAATGCCAAAGAGCAAAGGCAAACATAGCGCACCAAAAGCTTTGGCTTTTAACGATGACGTGCACGAGCGCCAAATGCATAGAGAGCTTTTATTTTGGTGTGTTTGTGTCGTCATCGAACATCCAGTTCGAACATGTTGCGAACAACTGCGAAGGCGACAGGCAACTCAGCTCAAACGCACGACGGCGCTTGCACGAAACGGACGCGAACGCGGAATTCAGAACGTTCAAACGGGATATTGCCTTTTCGCGCCAAACGGCACGAAAAACACAATTTTTGAATATAACTCGAAAACCATTTGAAAAAACTGCAAATAAATTTGGGCAAAAAGCTCGTAAAAACTTCTTCATATGCATATATTGAGTATAATTTTTAACGTTTATTAATTTGAAGTGCAGTTGGAGTGAAAAAATCAGCGGGCAAAATTTTGCTAAATATAAATCAAAATACAAAAAGTGCATAAATTTATGTTTACTACATATACAAGCCAAGTGTTTCGGTGTGTGCGAGTGTGTGTGTGTGTGTGTGTGCTGATATAATTTATCGATCAAATACATAAGGCCGCATATTAACCGGCCCCGCGAGCACATTAACTTCCCTTTTTTTTATTTATTGTTGTTGTTGTTGTTTTATTTTCCATGGATATTGACCAAGAAACGGCCACGTTTATTTAGTGAGGCAGCGAAACCCCCGCCCGCCCCTAGACGAGGGGGGCCTGAAAAACAGGTTGGTTTTTTGCTTAATTAAATAACTTAACAAAATGTCGCCCACAAAAATCGGTAAAGAAATATTTGTTTTTTTGCTCCTTGCAAAGCCCGTTCTTCGTTTTGTTTACATGGTTAAAGCGATTTTTTTGTTCTTTGATTTGTTTGCTTTTCAACGCTTTTCCCTAGGCTGGTTTTCCGGCGCTTAACATTTTTCCGCCCAAATTCATTTGCTGATTTGGGATAATCAGGCGCCCGAGTCCTTGCATGCATTTCGTACGCACTCGTAAAAAGGGAGCGAAATATTCAACCAATAAATGAGGGAACGAAAAATCGCTCATACGCAACGTTGGCCGCCCCTTTGGGAAACTTATCAAGACGTCGCTGCGGACCGGCCTGTCGAAGGGTGGGTTGGGGCGGGGGGCTCGCATTAAATATTCCAGGACATTGACAGGCCAGTTTATTGCACTCTTTGAAGCGACCCAGTTGCCGTCGTTTGTTTTACGCCCCGGCCGAACACCGAATTCCAAGTAAATAAATACATTTTGCAATGATTATTTCTGCTGTAAAGCACATTTCACATTCCTTCGGGTGCCATAAACCACTTGACAGCTCCAAAGGCAACAGAAACTGCCTCAATTGCAATCAATTTTAATACATTTTTAAAGCCAAAAAGGAAAAACTCTAAAAAAGCCAAGTCACAGGTTGAGGCTAGTCAAACATACCGAAGTGTTGAGGCGTAAGAAATTTTAGGGCCAACAAATTCAAGTTGATTTATAGATTGGGCTGGGGAATTCAATTGGATTTGTGCACCATGAGTAAATGCAGCTCTGTAATAGTTTATATTTACATAACCCTAGTTACAGTTATTGCATGTTAGATTTGTTTAACATCATGTTAGGGTTCTCTGTATTTCTCTTAATGTTGTCTGAGACGTGTGAAATTTTAGGACCAACAAAGTCAAGACGATTTGTATATTGGGCTAGGGAATTCAATTTGATTTGTGCACCAAGAGACAAGGCGGCTCTGTACTAGTTTCCGTTTACATAACCCTAGTTACAGTTATTGCATGTTAGATTTGCTTAACATCATGTTAAGGTTCGCTGTAATGTAAACTTAACTCCTTCTGCATTTTTTTCCATTAATGTTAAACTCATTTTGAGTTCCCATCTTGTGGTGTTCACATAAATGTTATCAGCTGCTGCTCAGTGATTAATATGTCTGTTATGTTAAAACCTAAATAATCTAATGTTAATCATGTTATCTTATAAACTCTGTTATGTGCCTCTGACTGCAGTCGACTTAACAGTGCCAAGCGCTGCGAAGTGCATGCTATGATCAATCATAGCAATAACAGAAAAAGGAGTTGTCTATGAATAATCTTACAGAGTGCTTGGATTCTTTGTTAGTAGATGCTATAATACTAAATGTAAGCACTGTTAAGTGGATCATGTCAATAGCAGCACGTGCTGTTGACTATTAAAGGAGCATAACATTATTGTTATCCTAAACTGATGACAGTTAGTTCTGTTAAATGATATGTTTAACGGCTAACAGCATTCAACAGCTTGATTTCTCATCTTGAGGTTAACAGATATATTATGCTAACCGCTGCTGTTAAGTGGTCATTGTTTCTGTTGTGTTAAATCCTAAAGACGCTCATCTAAAGCTGTTATATTACATAAATCGCACTGAACAGCTGCATTTGAACACAGACATGGTAATTTAAACGATCCGACTTAATGTTATTTATATTTCCTGCTATCTAGTTCGATCGAAAAGTGTTTTTCTCCCACTAATTTTCTAACTGATTTTCAACATAAAATAGAATAAAATATAAGAACGAACCCTGGGCAACTTGCATGGCAAATGAAACGTTAGACAAATAAATCCCCGGGGAAGTGCGCTCGGGCATAATCAAAGTCAGTCAGTCAACCTCGCTCGGATTGCCGCACGTTGACACCACAATTACAAAATCCAATCACAACAATAACAATAACAACAACAATAGGAGGAAGTGGGACGAACTGCTGCACTGCGTCATTTGAGGCACATTCGCTTTGGCAATTGCTTTGCGGGCTGTTTGCCAATTAAACTAAAATGGCGATTGGCACGCGACTCGGACCGGGCCACAGCCACGCCCACACACTAACCCACACCCCCACACCTCCCCGCGCCGAGTGCGTTGTGTGGAGTTGCATTGCTTTTATGTCTAATCAAATTTGCCGAACTAATTCCATTTGCATGGCCCCCCTCCACAGAAACAGCTTTAGCTGAAGCCAAAAGTAATTCTCAGCGCCAGATTTAATTTGATTTTACGCTTGGGCCTTTGGGCACGCTTCAGCGCCTCGTCCAAAAATTGTAAATTCAATTAAAAGCTGCCACAAAACAGCGGCAGCAACAGCAGCAGCAGCGGCAGGTACAGAACGCTTAAGTCTGGCCAAAAGGTTTAGTACCTGGTATCGGCTGTTGCCACATATTGTAGTTGCAGGCAGACGAGTTGAGGGCCCACTAAAAGCCACTGCTGCTGCTGCTTCTGCTGCTGCTACTGTCAACGCACTTGCCACATGCCACATGCCACAGACAGAGAGGGGGAGAGAGAGAGAGAGACAGAGTGAGGATGAGCATGAGCTGGGTTTGTTATGGGCTCGAGAGCTGGCTCTGCCAGCTGGTCCGCGGCATTGTTTGTGTTTGCCGAAATGCAGCTACCGCCTTCAAAAGTGCTTTTTATACTCTATTTTCAAATCGAATATGGGGCGTATTAGCTATTCTGTATGTCCCCACAAACGAACTAAGGATCTGCAGCAAGGGACTACAATCTTGGCACATATGCACATAAGCTCCTACTTACGCGTGGCGGAATGTTCAAAGCATTCCATCTTTCCAAATTTGTCTAAAAATATAATCACAGTATAGTATTGTACTATACTATATAGTGTAGTATTGTATTAGTATTAGTAAACCATTGTAAAGTGTAGTAAAGTTTAGCATAGTGTAGTATAGAAAGGTTTAGCAGTATAGTATAATAGTCTGGAACTCCATTTTTTTTTTTACTGAACATGGATCAAATCTTAAGCTGAATCAGTTGGTTGCACGAAAGACGTAACGTATTATAAATAAATTTTACACAATGTTCATTAAATTATCTTATTTTACAAATATGAATAACAAATGTGAATACATAAAACAATAGATGTTTACATGTGGAAAGCCTGGATCAAAAGCCGAAGCTTAGGGCGAGCAACTGTAGGGTATGGGTTGACCTTGATTATGATTAAAAGCCGCTCTTTTTTGCATGAAAATAAACATACAGCAAATGTGATCTAAAAGGAACGGCAGTTTTCTAGTTTGCTATAACTCTGGAGACTAAAGATCGCAGGTCCTAGGGTTTTCAAGTCACAGTTTTAGAGGCACTGCCTTAGATTCAGACGTATAGATTCAGATTGTGAAATATATTCTTCTTCCACCTTAAAAAGAGTATCTCGTAGCTAAAAGGACTTTAGGCTGACACGTTTTTTCTCGTTTATTATTGTCATTGTACTTGACACTGCCTGCCAGACGCCTGTATGTCCTGTCCACCCCCCCCCCCCCAATCCCTCCCACACCCTTTCTATAACTCCCCATATATGCGAGGACTCCATAGTGCCCCCTGCCTGGGCGTGGCCACATTTCGTGTATGACAAGTTCCGTAGCTTCACTTTGAACTATGTTTGCCCTGTGTATATGTGTGTGTGTGAGTGTGTGTCTGATGGGTGTGAGCTACATGTGTGTGTGTGTGTCTGCTTCAAGTGGCAAGCCCTCGACGTGGCAAGAAACGTGACTGAGGCGTAGACTTACAACAAATTTCCGCTGCACAGTTCCTCGAACAAAAAAATGGGAAAAAACTAACCAAATGTTTAGACAACCACGGCAGGCAAGGATGCGGCAAGACACTTGGCAGGACACTTTGTTCGCATCATTGTAAAAGTCCACAGCAAACATGCAAAAATCGTTGCCACACACACACACACACATATACAGATTACCAATGTGCTGCACTTTCCTATATGAGAACTACGAATAAATTTGCGTTAAAGGAAAAATAAATAAGATATAATATATGGTAGAGAATGCATTTATTTACGCAGCTCAACTTTCTGGCCATTTGCCATGTTTGTTTTGTTTTTGTATAATTTTTACAGGCGCCTAATGGTCGCTGCGCATTGCTTTGGGCTTTTCCCCATTTTTCCATTAGTCCTACGGCTCAGTCTTAGCTGAGCTGCACAGCGCATAATTGGAACGGGTTGCCAGTTCCCGCGGGGCTTAGCGGTTGATCATAGTAAAAACTGTGCAAAAGGCGCCTCACAAACAACTGGCAATAACTAATCCATTTAATCGATAAACAATTTCAACGGGCAGTCAGCCCCGCTGAGGAATGGTGAGGTCCTTTTAAAGGGAATTTTCAGCGCCTCTCACAATACAGTCGAAAGATCAAAGGAAAGCAAGGATAGAGCACGGATAGACGGATACAATACAAAGGAATTTAGGGATTTGTGTAATCAAATAGTGTGCGAGTCGACTAGCAGATGACCTGTAGCCCGATCTGGCGGTACTTACCCCGCAAAAGCAAGATAAAAGCCGTCGCTCCAACTCCGTCTAGACTGAGCTTTTAAGTCTGATACTTTTTGGGGCATCTTGATCAATTGTTGGCCTTTTCTGTGCCTATCAAGAGCTGTGGTTAGAATGAAAATAAAATAAAATTAATGTTATTTAAATTCATGAAAATCGCATAGAGAGGCGCTATCGATAGGGTTGGAAAAAGAAGGGGAGAAAATAAAGCGTGACGGTTTAAGCGGGCGTGGGAAAAGGGACAGTTCGAGAGAAAGAGATAGAGAGGGGAAGAGACTGAGAGTAGGAGAGAGAGAAAGAGAGAGACAGAAACAAAGTGAGCGAGGGAAAGAACCGCATTTATTTATCAGCCCTAATTTAAGTATTACCTGAGATCACGTAAATCACATAGAAGAGCGAGGTTTAATTACCAAA